ACGGAAGCCATGCCGGATGGGTTGCCTCTGTCCAAGGCGCCGGGTCCATACGTCGAGTCGGGTGGGCTGCCTATTTGTGCGGCTGGAACTGCAGGTAGTCCTAATGACACTGCAAAACCTAGGGCAAGGTTTCCTGCTCGAAATAAGTGGACGATTCTACCTTGAAGCGGAAGCAGGGGTTAAGTCCACTTAGCACCGTCACCTCTTAATCATGTGTCACTGCCGTCGGCTACATCGGAAGTTCCCAAATTGACGTTTGCAAGATAGTTCTTAGAGTACAAGCTAACTTCTCAGGATGACTTCAGGAGCTTCCTATACAACAAACGCGAGTGACAGACGATTAAAGGGTCATAGTGCTAATTAGGCTTACCCCCTTCTTCCGCTTCACAGCAGCATTTTCCTCGCCCGATCGAAGCGAAGACCTTCTAGGCTCGCCCTACCGTACTCGCCCTATTTGTGTCATATTCACCGAATTCTCGCCATAAGAGAGTGGGATTTTTCTAACCCCGCCCAATTGCAGTGAGAAATCTTACTCACATAGGATGAGGACCTTAAATTTTAACTCAAGACCATCCCACCGAATAGGGAAGAAGAAAGAAAAGAATCCAAAAGCACCGAAAACAGAATTCAACAGATCAAATTCTGAACATTTTCTCATTTCCTTAAAATAATAATTCAGGACTTGTTGGTGTGTCACAGAAGTGCGCAAATATTATACGCATCCTGTATTGGAACTATTTCCGGCGATTTTTGATTCTTATCTTTCTTCCACATTTAGTGGAATGGTAGAGTTAGAAATATACATCTCGATCTGAGAGCGAGATTTTTGGGGTCGTTGATCTCGCTCTCCTCAATCGAGTATTTACAGTGTAAACCATGGTTTTCAATGAGAATGAGTAATACGAACTCAATTTTTTTGCTTGTGTTTATTTTAACAAACTGCACAAAGTAAAAAAACTATTTTGTTTTAACTGATATTTTTCGTGTCATGTCATAATACCAGTATATAATGTCAGTCTTAATTAATAGAAAAGCATAAGCAATAAGGGATATGCATATAGCTTTGCGTTCTGCTGAGAGTTTCACGGAGATTACTCATTTTCTTAGCGTAGCGACTGGCATCACCGGGTCTACTTCACTCTTTTTGTTTACCTACGAAACCAAAGCCACGGCCGTGGTCCCATTGATATACACCGACCAGTCGGTCAGTGCAAACTGGCTGTAATTTCTGTTCAAACACGCCTCTTGCGGAAGCCGCTCAGACACGTGATTAGTAGTCGGTGGTCGTCCTCACGTAGTTCTCGCCGGAAGGCATGGCCACCTTGTCCACGCCCTTGGGGAACAGCTTGGCGAGGTCCTCGTCTTTGACGCTGGGCACGATCATGACCTTGTCACCGGGAGTCCAGTTGGCGGGCGTGGCCACGTACGGCAGGCGGGCCGACAGCTGCAGCGAGTCGATACAGCGCAGGATCTCGCTGGAGGGAAACATGAGAAGGTTATCAGTGTCGTCTGTGAGACGCGGAGGGGGGGGGGCGAGGAGATAATGGCAGGGTTCACTTCATAAACCTGGAAAACCCCTAAGTGCTGACTTACTCGACGTTCCTGCCGGTGGACATGGGGTACAGCATGGCGAGCTTGAGCTTGTGGTCCGGGCCGATGATGTAGAGGGCGCGCACCGTCTTGGCCGTGTCCGGGTCGTCTTTCTGGTCCTCGTCGATCATGTCGAGGAGGACAGCTAGCTCGCGGGTCTCGTCACCGATAATGGGGTAGGGGAAGTCGCCGGGAATGTCGAGGCAGTAGGACTTGATGTCGTTGACCCAGTCCGTGTGCGACTGCAGCTTGTCGCACGAGTGAGCCAGCAGCTTGGTGTTGCGCTTCTGGAACTCGGGGAAGTGGACGGCGATGCGGCCCAGCTCCGTGGTGCACACGGGCGTGAAGTCGGCCGGGTGCGAGAACAGCACCACCCACCTGTCAAAAGAAACATTTTTGAGCCCAACCGTAACGCACGAAACCGCTTGTAAGTGTTTAGCGCGTCAACACTTGTGTGTGCGCAAATGTTAATATTGCTTTCTAGTGTTTTTAAAAAATCTCATAGGTAAATTGTGCGACTTATTCCCCAAAAGGGCCACTAATCTAAACTGCCTCCAGACATCGAATCGTTGCTGTATGTCGCTGGCAATGTCGTCAAGGCTGCTGTGTTATTCACCGTGTCAACTCTCGTGTTTGTTTGCTCTGGTAACAAACGTTATGTAAGGAGGGATGAGTCATTCACGCCACGCAGACCGCCTAATCAAGTCACGATCGTATTGTATCGTTGGTGAATATTTATCACCTGTTTGTCTTAGGATAGTTTCTGTTAACAATCAAACTGTGTGTTGTTTTGCAAATAATAGCAATAGATGTGAACCTGATGTCAAAAATTCGGCAAATTTACTGATTTTACCCGAAGATGTTTCTGTGACCTCGATAGTGGAACAACGATGACTTCAACTGGGGCACAGGAGCGCGCAGGAGTCGATCCTCACGTTGAGGATCGTTCGTTGTCCAGATCAGATCTATTTCGGCAAATAACGGGAGCTGGGCGCCTGCGAGCCACCGGGTAGGCCACCCCGCGGTACACGCATGCACAGCAACCAGGATGTTGCCTAACTATCAAGGCGCTATGAGAGCTTGATTCATCTGAACTTGGCATTTTCTTAACGGTATGGTTGACAGGCGGATTTTCTGGATGTTGCTTCTTTTTTCTGGTGTTTCCGTCGGAGCTACCTGTCGTTATCGCCAATAATATCGCCAATAACGCATTGGATGCGCTTGAATGTGTGCGTTAGCATACGGACGTCCTCTATTATTTATTCTAGGTATCATATTTTTCAATTATCGGACCTCGGTAAATTCTTTGAGCTAGCACAACCTTTCGCGGTACGTGATGTCGTGACTTAATTTGAAAATGAAAATGATTGGAACAAAGATTAAATCTGTCGTCAGGAAAACGAATCCGGACATTGAAACGAACAAAAATCCCTTAAAATAAAATGAAAACTTTCTTTGGAAATGGCGTAAAGGAATTCCCTTGCTCGATTGAACTCATTTTCTGGGTGTGAACAAAACGTCGCCAGCAGGCGGTCATGTTTTAACATATGTGTTTGGCACTCTGCTCTTTACGGATCTAAGGGACTCAAACTTGTTCCCGACAAAGCAGAACATCACATAGTACCATGTGTCAGGGCCACTACAGTATGCGGTTTTGCCTACTCGCGTAAGGCGCCAGCCCCCCCCCCCCCTTAGGGTATGCAACCCTGTTCTGTCGTAGCTCTCTAACACACGGTTGGGTTACACCGGTTACACTCACGAGTCGCCTTGGAAGTCGTAGAAGTTGATGGGCCCCTGCGTCGTCTGCGCCTGGAAGTCGGGAATAACCTTTCCGAGCCTCATGGTGGAGCAGTGTCTGTTCCTCGATAGACAGCGGCTCGGACGCTACTGGAACGCCGCCGGACGCACACCGCCTACTTATTGACTCGGAACGGGGAGGGAGAGAGGGGAGGGAGAGAGGGGAGGGGGGTCAGAGGCGTGGCGGGCGCGGCACAGGATGCAGGGGGCGGCCCGTCCAATCCTCAATCAAAAGTGACCGAAAGGATACGGGTTTTCTGGGAGGGATGAAAAGGAAGGGGGGTTGTATGTCGAGTGTGGTGCTCGCTGAGTGTTAATATGTTTGGTTGGATTTTTTTTTCAATGGCCCAATCGCAAGATTCGACGAATCGGTTTGACTTGTTGTTTTTTTTGTTTTTTTTCTATGCGCCATGAACTACTTTTACAACTCTCGTTCCCCCACCGCCCAGGTGGTCGGAGAACGCCGGCGCCGTCGGCATCATGTAGAAATCTGCATCTGGTTTTGACGGGGCGTTTGATCCGATGACTCACCTACGCCCTACGCCCCAATAAACTATGTGAACCTCACCTTCACTTCAATTGAAGGGTTATACATACCGACGTCAAGTTAAATGACTGTAAGCGAACATCGCTCTGGAAATAGTTTGCGCAGAGAATGATTTTGGAACACCACGGGAGATAAACGAAGGGAGGTGCGACACCTAACCAGCCAACGCTCTCGCCGAGGCTTTCGCCCGGCTCCGCGTGTCGGTTGGGCGGCCTACCCCCGCGGCGGCCGGGCCGTGCCTGCGTGGCGGGGCTGGGCCCTTCCCTCCCCGCCGTCCCGTTATCTCTGTGCGCGCCGCGAGCCGAGCCGCGAGCGGGGAGCGGCTGAACTAGCCGGGCATGAGAGGATGACGAGGACTGGGGAGGGGACGCCTAGGAGAGTGGCCAGGGTTAGAACTTTAGGGAGGTCGCCTGCGGCTGCGTCGCGATGTGCCCCGATCGTCTCCACCGACCCGTCCACGGCCAAGCTGACGCGGCCGAGGTGGCCGCGGGATTCGGCCGGGCCGCGCATGAGCCGTGGGTCACGTGACGCGGCCGCCGCTCTGCCCGGCTCTGCCCGGCTCTGCCCCTCCAGACGCTCTCTGCTGCCACGACAGCCGCTGTTGGTTTAGTTGTCGGCGCGAGCCCGGCCCGGTTCCTCTCGCGGCGCCACCGGTGCGGTCCGCTCAGCTCGGCTCAGCCCGGCGGGACGTCGCACATACTGGACGCTTCAACTTCAACAAGGGTTATAACGACTGCTTGCTGCCAGCGACGTGACCGAGGATCTCCAGACGTCCGACCAGCGTCGGATTTGGCATCGGATTGATTTTTTCGCTGGGCCTATGCCGCGCCGCGGGACTGCCGGCGCGCTGGCTCTGTGACCATAGCTCGGCGCAGCTCGGTGTTGTTGTCAGAGACGGTCACGTGCTCGCCACCACCATGCGCCTGGGACAGGTCGTGCCCAACTTCCTGGCGGACACAACGGCGGGACGGTTTCAGTTCTACGACTGGCTGGGCGACTCGTTAGTATAGTTTTTGTTCTAAACACAATTGTTTGGGGGCAACGTTGGTCAACTTTCACTGCATGTGAGACCTCTTATGGCAGTATTAGTTGGTGATTTAAAGAATATCATGTCGTGGTTTGCGATGTGAAGAATATATCTTACATTTTGATTCTCATGTTGGTTATTTTCATTTTCTGCTTTTTGTGTTTGGTGTGCCCCCATTTCTTACAGACCGAGGCGTTGAGTCAGCCACCTGGAAAAACACTTTAAAAATAGCTCTCACCCATTTTCTACAGTCCCAGCCTCAAGTTTAGCCTTTTCAAATGATTTTCAATGAACTGCTCGAGGACGAGTAATTTGGACAACAACGTTTTACTGACTATCAACGTGTTATGATAGAAAGCCCTGCTTTGGCGCGTCGTTTTATCTTGTCCATCCCATAGCGATACGGCAGTCATATTCTCTAATTACAATCATTCTCGTTAAAGGCGCCATCTGAAAGAAATGGGTTGAGAGGGTGGGGAGGGGGGAGGGTAGGTGGGCGCACAGCTCTCGAGGAGATAAGGGGCACTAACCAAACAGCCGATAATATTGCGTGCGGTCGCCGACTTCCCGCAAGTCTCCATACGTGTTGAACTTGATGTACCTCCTCATTTACACCTTACACCATACAGTTTTGTTGAGGTGTCTTGCGGTGTGAGGCTCTCTTATAGTTTAATTACTATCACCGGCAGTTACACCCAAAAAACTGAGTTCTTGGACAAAGTATCTTGCACTTGTACCTTTGGATTTTCAAGTATGTCTTGATTCAAGTGACTTAATCAAGTATCAAGTACTAATGAACTTGGTTCAAGAACTCTTTTTTTTTTTTTTTTTTTTTTTGCGATGTTCACACGGAGGAAAGAGATTTGTTCTCACAGCTGAAATCGTTGTTTTATTGTCAGCAAAAAAATATTGCTTTCAAAGCGCTTTGTCAAGGCAGCTGAAGCGATTGCTCTCTCAGCAACATTTTGCTGTTCATGTTTAGTGTAGTTGGATGCGCTAATTGACTCTGCCCCTTCTGCAGATGGTGCTTGCTGGTCTCACACCCGGCGGACTTCACACCGGTCTGCACGTCTGAACTGAGTCGGCTGGCCGAGAGCCACAATGAGTTCTGGAAGAGGGGCGTCAAGCTGCTGGCGCTCTCCTGCGACCGCCTGCGCTCGCACCACGCCTGGATCGAGGTATACTGTATTTGTGTTGTAGTGTAAGAGCAGTAGTCGTTTTCCACCCTGTTCAAAATTACATGTTGTGCATTTACAACCAGATTTGCATTTCCAAAGCATTTCCTTCTGCAGTACGAACGCATTTCTTTTCAAGCTCCCGAACCTTTCCGATTTTGTTTATAAGCTGCGGAGCAAATCGTGCTTTTTTCTTACAAGGCATCCAAATGCTTCAGTTTACAAACTATTTGTGATGAGGACCGCCCCCTCTGACCGACCTGGTGCGTCCCTGGTGCCTCATTCAGGACCTCAAGCGCTTCTGCCGCAACGCTCCGTCCGAGTTCCCGTACCCCATCATCTCGGACGAGAGCCGGGACCTGGCCGTCCTCCTGGACTTGATCGACGAGGACCAGAAGGACAACCCCGAGATGGCGATGACGGTCCGCTCTGTGTACGTGATCGGGCCTGACCGAAGAATCAAGCTCACCATGCAGTACCCCAACTCAACCGGCCGCAGCATGGAGTGAGTACGCCGGTCGAAGACGCTGTGCGATAGACTGTACTTACCACATGCAGAGTGCGAGTTGGTTGCCTAACCGAACGGGGCCGTGAGAGCGGAAGCTCACGGTCCGGCACGAGCACGAAGTGTGCTTGGCGTTAACCGCTCGCCTGGCCAAACAGTTGTTCCAGATTGTATTTCGGGAATTTCAATGGCTTCTAACTTAAGCCACCCTCCCTCTTTGTCTGCAGTGAGATGCTAAGAGTGATCGACTCCCTTCAATTGACCTCGAGATTAAAAGTCGTGGCCACGCCAAGCGACTGGGAGGTAATAAACCAGACAGAAACCCCTATCCTGCTACCTGTTTGTTTTTTTCCAAATGTTTCTCATGGTGCTTTCTCGTGTCCACCTCGCAGCCCGGCAAGCAGGTGATGGTGCTGCCGCACGTCAAGCAGGAGGACCTGCCGTCGCTGTTCCCGGGCGGCGTCGACACGATCGAGTGCCCCTCCGGCCAGACCTACATCCGCACGACCAGCGACATCTGGCGCGAGCCGTGGCGGACGCGCGCGCCCCCGGGCAGGCCGATGGCGGAGACGTTCCACCCGACCCTCGCCGCGCAGTCCATGGACGAGTCCACCTCCCTCAACGAGGTCATCAAGTTCATCGACGACGTGGCCCGCCTACCCAACCTGCGGCAGATGCCGCTCGGCGACCTCATGGAGCTCACCTCGTCGCTAGTCACCGAGACGACGTACACGACCAGCACCAGCGAACGCCTCCAGGCCATGACCAAATTCCTTCGGTCGCTCACCCCCTAAAAAAAAAAGTTGTCTGGGTCGAACAAGGACTGTACAACGCATCAAAACTAATTTTAAATCCCAAATCATAAGCAACGTTTTAATATCAAAAATTATGGCTTTTCTATTAATTCACGAATATAGCGACTCGCTTTCATTAAACGTTCTCCGTATTGTCGATCAACTGATGCGATAGGTCAAGAGGATGTCAGTGCAGAGAGGCAGAGCAAGACTGGAAGAAGTGTCCCCCACAGTGACAGGGTTACCACGGGGCGCCAGCCTGGACGAGCCGCTGCACTTGGGGTGGGGGCTGAGGGCGGGCCGCCGGCTCCACATGGCTCCTTGGCGGGTTGGCCTACCCGGCGCGTTGCAGGCGCTAGCATTGGCGCGCTTGCCTCGCCCCGGCACTAGAGCCCTGCAACGAGCGAGCACTGAGAGCAACGCGCTGCGAGTCGGGGCTGTGAGCAAAGTTGCTCATAGGGCCACGCGCCGTGAGCAAAAGCCAGGTCGGCGGAGCGGGGCACTTAGAGGCAGGAGCTAGCTTTGCTCACGAGCTATCTGCGAGCAAGGCTGCGCGCCTACTTCTGGCGCTGCCCGCGTCCGACGCAGCATCCGAGCGTGCGTGTCGCACCGTCGCACCGCGCGCCGCCACTGCACGAGCTACCAGAGAGCAAAATTTGCTCGCGTTGCTCGCGCCGGGTGGTAGCTCGTGAGCGAGCAAAGCGAGGGCGGCTGCGAGCAACGAGAGCTATTAGGCGCGGTCGGCGACAGAGGCGAGCGCTTGCTCTCAGTGCTCGCTCGTTGCAGGGCTCTACCCGGCACCAACACGCCTCACAACAACGGTCAATGCTCCCGGCCGGAGAAACGACAAATCAACAGCGAGTGTCTCATGAAAGTAATGTACTGTTCTGGGGAATGTAAATTTTTTTAGGTTGTGATAAACCATTAAACAGAAAGCTGCAGCAAGAAAACTGATCTCAAAGTTAAATGCATTGTGTAAGTTTATTTTCATTCATTTGTGTTTTGTAGTTGAGCAATCAACTGCTTAGTTTCATCCATGCCATCTTTGAAGATTTAGTCCATTTTTAACAATAAAGCTAGAACATGAAAAATAATTGACCGACTAGAACAAGAAAATTATAATATGGAAATATCTTGCGCTACCGTCGCGTGTGTCTTGGTGCATGCACCGGTGTGGGTGGGTTTGCCTCGGTTTGCCTTCTCCCGCTGCTCGTAAGACGCCAATGGCTCCTTCTGTGAGTAGGCAAACCCACTCGCACCGGCGCGTACTCCGAGACATCCAGTAAACTCTCAGGATTATTTTTGTAAGCCACTGAAATTGAGGATATTCACAAACGGGGGTAGACTTACAGTTTACTAGTGTTCTTGTAGCCGTTGTCAGTGGTCGTGCTAACGTAGCCAATCCCCGAGGGCATAGATACCCTCTCAACGCCTCTAGGGAAAAGCCGTTTTAGGTCCGACTCCTTGACCTCGGGTACCTCAGGTAGGAACATGACCTTGTCACCGGGAGTCCAGTTTGCAGGCTTGGCGACGTACGGCAGGCGAGAAGACAGTCGCAGCGAATCGATACAACGCATAGGACCTTGCTGAAAAGACATACGAGTGCCGATACTCAATAACACTTACTCGCGAAAAAAAGAGGAGTCCAGTTCAGAACTATGGTGCGAAATGCAGACTTCCTCGACGTTCCTGCCGGTGGACATGGGGTGCAGCATAGCGAGCTTGAGCTTGTGGTCCGGGCCGATGATGTAGAGGGCTTGTCGCACGAGTGAGCCAGCAGCTTGGTGTTGCGCCTCTGGAACTCGGGGAAGTGGACGGTCGATGCGGCCCAGCTCCGTGGTGTACACGGGCGTGAAATCGGCCGGGTGCGAGAACAGCACCACCCACCTAAAGCAGAAAACATGTTGGTTTACCGTTCAAATCGCCGTTTGTTTGGTCGTCATGGACGACAGGAATGACAGGTCGGTCTGCCGTATGCTAACAAAGTGCCACGAACAAAAAACAAATAGACAATTTCGCAAACCGTAACCTGTTCTGCCTTACCTCTCTGGTCACATTTTCCTATTTTTCAATGGCCCACTCACTTGGGCCATAACGCTCCATGGTTTAATAGGCAAACCTGCACGCACGCGTGCGTGGCGGCACAAGTATGCTGCTGTTCGGCGTCCCGATTCGCCAACTTTTGAACATGTTTGTTTGTTTCTTTCCCATATTTGGTTGACTCACGTCCGCTTTCCACTTGCCACTGATAGAAGTCTATGGTCCCCTGGGTAGTCTGGGCCTTGAAGTTGGGAATGACCTAGCCGATCCTCATAATGATGAATACGCTGATCGTTGGGGTGAGTCTCTTCAATCTGATACCTCACCAGATCTGGCTCGCCGTTTTATACCCCCCGGATAAGAGGTCGAGTGCGTGGTGGGGCCAGATCTGGGTCTTATACAGTACAAGCAAGATAAGAGTTTTCTGAGAAAAGCGCAGTAAGTAGGAACAAGATCTGTTGGCAACGTACGGGTATGTTCTGGGGAGTGACTGCTGCGCAACCAGATCTGGTCAGAGAGGAGAAGAGATAAGAATTTTTTCAAGAAGGCAACAACACGTCCGATATCAGTTTGATTTTGGCATGGCATATTGGCATGTTCTCCTTATATAAGTGTGAAAGACCAAAGGGAAGCCCGGGTGAGAAATAATAGAAACATGGATTCAACGTTGAATCGACGTCTAAATCTCGATAAGATGTGCCCAATTGTTTATATAACTGTTCAATACTCACTTACGACTTACGTACATCTATGTGTGCATGCTCTATTGCGTATTATTTTAAACTCAGTTATATGAACAAAAATTGTTCATAGTTGAAAATACTTTTCAAAATTTCGTAATTGCGCTTAAAATAAGCGCTGTAGGTTACGCAAGCTGCGTACATAAAAAGTTCATAACAATTTAATGTGTAGATGTTGGGGACAAAATGACGTTTTTTCAACTACTTCGGCGCCGAATCAATATCGAATCGACGCTGAAGAAAATTCATTTCTCACTGGGCCCGGGTCAACGGCCCAACACCGCCGACATCATCAGCGAGGAGTTTGAATGAAAGGCCGGGCCGCCGCCTCCCGCTCTCGCAGCTCGCGCATGCGCCGAGGCTGCGCCAGGCTCGCCGGGCGCTCGGCCCGACCAAAACGCAGCCGTCTAAGTGCAAAAGTCGGAGCTCAGAGCAACAGTATCGTGCGGCGCTTGGACGTTCATTGTTGTGGAGCGGAGTGGACAGGTACGCTCGCCACACCTGTCACCGAACAGGTCCAACACAGTTGCCCGGGAGACGAGGGGTTTTCGTTTGAGGCCGTTGGCACGCCTGCGCCTTGTTAAGTAAGGTTATGTTTGTTGGTGAGTGTGTTTGGGAGGCTGAGCCGAGTTACCCGAGATAGCAGAATGGAGACTAGGAATGGACATGTCGCGGCGTTAGTCAATTGAACCGCGAGTGGAGGGCGCCGCTGCGCGCGCTGCGCCTCCTGGAGCCGCCCCCGCGGCCCTCGCCACGACCACCCGACAGGCGCGTCCGGCCCGGGTACGGCTGCTGGCCCTCGGCTCCTCTCGGCTCGCGGCGGCGGCGATGGGGCTGCTGCACTTTGTTTACATGTAACAGAAACGGTCCCGGCCGGCCGGGACAGACAGGCATACCCCGCCCACACCATGAACGCCACCAGCTTGTTCGTCTCGACGAGCCGGGTGGTGCTGCAGGCGCAGTGCACCGCCACGGACTCGGAGCAGGAGTCGGACTCGGCGGCGGACTTGTCAACGTCGTCCTGGGCGGACTTGCACCGTCTGGTGCCCTACCTGCGCCAGTCACTGTCGTGCACCGTGTGCGCCAACCTACTCGTCGAGCCTTACACGCCCAGGGACTCGGCGGCGACCGGCGGCTGCCAGCACCACGTCTGCAGAGGCTGCCGGGGTGGCCGCAAGAGGCTCAAACCGTCCTGTTCCTGGTGCAAGGACTACGATGCCTACGCGGAGAACGTCCTCCTGCGTATCCTGCTCCAGTGCTACAAGAAGCTCTGTGCCTACATCACCAGCACATCTATCTATCGTAGTCTTCTTGCCGGAGGGTCCAGCCTTGTAGAGCTTATCAATGAAGGGGCAGAGTTTAAAGATGACTACAAGAGTTCGCCGGGACTGTCCCGTTCCGCCTATAGCATTTTACCTTGTGTCTACTCAAATACGACACAACCTCAAGTGGCTCCTGTTTTATCGTCTCCTTCCCCTCCAAATGTGCAGTGTGCTTCTCCGCAGCCTGACACACTGCAAGAGGATGAGCACACCGCTCCATCTCCCACTTCGACAGTGTCGAATGGTTCCTCCCTCTATTCAGTGTACAACATTGGTAGTAAAATGACATTCAAAAGGAAGACAATCAACTCAGAGAAAGAAGTTGTTAACTCTCAAATTACTGAAAATGAGCTGAGTGTTAGAGAAAAGGTATAATAATCATATCTAAGTTACTAACCCACATTATTTTGTTACCAAAGCAAATGATTTTGGTATATTTTAACTATAATATTATTTATTAATTTTGCAGCCTGCCAAGTCCCTTTCTCTTACATTCAAAAAACCTCACAAAGGGATAAAAAGTATGAGGAGTCTTTCTTTGAAATCATCTCTTGCTTTAACTAAACAGCCAGGTAACACTTTTAATGAATGCTGCTTTTATGGATGTAATTAACTCTCTCTGTGCACAGGGAGGGCAGCTACGTTGGGAGGAATGAATTCAATGAACTTAAAGAGAAAGGGCTGCCGCTGTGGGAATGCCACAGCAACCCCAGGGAAACTTACTTGTTGTGGCCAACGGTGCCCGTGTTATGTGGACAGTAAAGCTTGCTTGGACTGTAGATGTAAAGGATGTCGCAACCCACACCGTCCTGGAGGACACAAGGTATGTTCTGACATTTAATCAGCTGATCTCTTTTATGTTTGCATTTGTATTGTTGTTTTCCTGACTTACAAATTTTTGAAAGGTTCGTCCCCATATTCCTGAATTGGAAAGTTATGAGTTGCATCTGAGTCCAACAGATGACATGCAGACTATAGATGAAGACACTCCTGTTTTATCGTTAGCCTCTCCCAGTGAGCTTGCTGCAACTAATGCTGGTGCCACAGTACAGGTAGAAATGTTGTTGACGACTAACATGTTGATTTATTTTATTTCACTCAATATATTACGATTTTTCTTTTCCTTCTTTCAATTTTGAAAATTTGCTTCTTTTCTTAGGTCCTAGGTGTTTACACAACACAGCTTCATCCAGTGACAACGGTATCAACCACTTTACCAGCTGCAATTTTAGTTGATGATGAATCTGGAACAGTAATGGATGAGGATTCATCAGAAATAGAGACAAGTGATGTTGAAATAGATTGTTAATTAATCTAATGTATAGCATCATGCAAGTCAATAATCTAGAGAAGATATAGACTTTTCATCCCCCCTCCACACCCTCCCCCCTGAACCTAACTTTTTCTTTTCAAATCTGAACTTGCCACCTCCCCCCTCCCCAAATCAATGGTTTTCATTAAAACCTGTAGACAATTAGTGAAGGATGTTGATGAATTCCTTAGTGAAGTTAACTTATCTGTATTAGCATATCTGCTGGTTTCCATCACATTGAAGACTGTCTTAGAATTTAAGAAAACATTAATTAATTGTTTATGAGCTTAGCTATGTCCATTTTAGAATAAAATTATATGAAGGGTGTTTAGTTTAACATACTGTGTGTAACAGAACTAAATATTTGTGCAATGAACAGACTGTGTTGTCTGTTATGAAATGTTAGTAAGCAAGTTACCTGATGTTCATTGTAAAGGAAAACATTTTCATTGTTTTCTTTGTATTGTTTCCTAATTTATTACCATAAACTACGAATGAAATTGCAATACATATGCGCTAAATGACACTATTATATTGCCCCTTGCCAGTATATGATTTTTTTAATGTTTCCAAAACATGATCAATTTAAATAAATCTTTCCGTTATCCTTCTCTGTTCTAGATAATATGATTTTACTAATTCTGGACCTGTCTGGGATTTTATTTAGTGCTAGTTTGTTATGACTTAGCCATTTAAATGTAGTTCCATAATTTTGGTTTGAGAAATTTTCCAATTTCCTTCTTAAAACGTGTGTGTTAGATAGGTGATTGAACTTTTTTTTTTCATTCCAGGATTATTGTACCTGTGAGGGGTTTTCCTATGGTCCACATTAGTCAAAATGTATCTTATGGTGCCTATGATGGAGGCATATCCAGTATGTTGATTTTTCAGATGTTGGAGCAATTTTTTGTTTTGTAAGAGTAATAATCGTCACCTGCAATCTTGAAATTATTTTTGAGGGCGAATGATTAACCCGCTCTCTAAGGGACACGTTTATCTTTGATTTAATGCTATCCGTTTCCTTGTAAGAGAGGTTGCTCTCCTATAAGAAGCTCACTATGAATTCTTTTTCTCAGTAGCATGCATAATAGTTGAATTTAATCTTGGAAATTAATCTAAGAACTGATGTAAATCTTAAGAATGTGGAATGTGTTAATTTGCATTCCCTTACGTGTGTGTGCTTAGACAAGGATGATATTTTATGATATTTTTTTTTTCATATCTTGTAATATTTTTTGTGGGGAATCCTTTGTAGTCTACATGGCTGTCAACCCTCTTTGTTGATTTTTTAATTGTTATAATTTAAAGAAATTAACATGCATATCATTCTTTTTTATTTTGATTAGCGTTTGTGTGTATGTGTGCATGTTGCATGTGTGAATAGTTAAGCAATTTCTGACCATCAACCATCTTTAATGGTACATAATTACTATCTGAATGATAATTGAGGCACAAGGAACTTCTGGGTGAGAAGTGAATAACAAAATTATGTGGAGTAGTAAGCATAAACTCATGACTTCCTCTTTATTTCTAGAATCTTTTTGTGATTTTCTTCTTTAATGTCCGCACCTAGTGAGTGAGAGTGATGTTTCTGATCTAATGAATTTACTTGTTTGGTCAGGAAGTAAACTAATGTAACGCCCCAGAGTTCCTAAATTATCAATTAAGAAATAAAAAATTCTTAATTTATAAACTAAACTTTGTAAAATTATATGTTTAAATATGCTTTGATCAGAACAACTAAATATTGTCTTATGAAGTATCTGTGATATTTGCAAATAGGGAGATGCACTTTTGGATAGTCGGAGGGAAGCACTTTTGCATTGGGTTTTAGCACATATATAAGATGAAATCAATTAACTGGAATTTTGTGCTGTGGAGTGTTAAACTGTTGGTTCTAGTGGGGGGGCTTTTAATTTTTCCTGCATGTTTGTTTCTGCCCAGTAATTTGTAATTCATTCTTCCTTCCCAGTGACCAACATCTTGTCATTCGTTAAGTGCTTTTGCAACAATTTCAAGTTTGTGTAATATATTTTTTTCATTCTCCATAAGTAGTTCTCAACAAATTATGTCCATTTTGATGTGTTACTATGAATCTACCTAATTTGAATAGGTCTCCATACAATTTCAGCAGTGGTATTTTTGTATTAAAATTAAAGAGAATGATGTTTGTTCATTATTTCAGTTGAAGTTTTTTAGTTATTTTGTGAAATCATACCAGTAGAAATAAAACCATTATCAGATTTTCTGACTACTAAAAGTTGTTGTGTTCTTATGGCTGTTTTAGTGACTCGAGTTTTAGGACAAATTTGTCTTTTGGTCTCATTGAGTTTTTGATGAGGTCAAGGCCAGTATCATCTGCACCGTTTATTCATCTGCGAAATTCTTAAGTTTTCCTTTGACCTACGAGTTGCAGCATCCTGCTCCCTTCTAACCTCCCTCTGCTCCTTCTGATCTCTCCGTTTCCGGGCTTGTCGTTTGGGCACTGGGGTGGGCGGAGAGACTGGACATGGCTTGGCACGTGCTGGTGCCTGGACTCGTGCGTTATTGGTTGACGGGGTCTTGCGGTTCGGGGCGTACTCCGGCTTGCCGTTCCTCGCCGGACGTCCCAGGTCTTTGGCAGCCGCCCCCTCTGCGCGCCCTGGAGCCACGGCCCGGGGTGGCGGCGCGGTGACCGTGCGGCCCGTGCTGCGGGGCGACCTGGGCGGCGGTCTCCTCAGCGAGCTGCAGGGCTCCTCGCCGGTGCACCTCTGCGTGCGTGGCGCCCTGAGCCGCCCGGCCATCCCGTGCCCCGCGGCCACGGCAGACTTCCTCCGCCGGCACGGCCGCGGCACGTCCGCGACGTCGGGGTGCTGGCGCAGCGCGCTGCCCGAGCAGCGCCGCGTGACCCTGGTCAGCGAGGGCTCTGCGGACGGCTTGCTGGCGGAGGTCCGAGGCAGCTCCAGCAGCGGCGGCGCGGAGGGCGGCGCGGGGCCCGCGGCCTGGTCCGGAGTGGGCAGTCCTTGGCGCTGCTTCGTCGTGGCCGGACCGTACCACCTCGCCGTCGACACGGGGGCGGGCACGCCGCCGCGGTCCATGTCGGCGGCGATGGCGACGGCGGCCACCTTGCTGTCGCGCTTCATCGGCGACGGCTTCTTGCTCGGCGGGGGCTGCGCCAGGCAGCGGTCCGACATTTGCCGGATGCACTCGGGACGCAGGAGGTCTTGGGCCACCTGCAGCTGCAGCATGGCCGCGCTGGGCCCCCGCTGGGCGGGCAGAGGCGCCAGGGCGGTGGGGCCCGCGGGCCGGCCTGCAGGTGCTCCGGGCATGACGCGGCGGGTGGGCGGCCGGTCGGCTCGGTCCGCGCGGTCAGAGCGGCGCCCCGCGCACGGCCACGGCCAGGACCCCGTCGGCTGCTCCTGCTCACCGCCTCGCGGAGCGGGCGCCAGGGCGCGGTGCATCTGTGTAGGGGGAGAGGCGCAGTGGTACCTAAGATTTTATAGTTCAAAATTGTCCCAGGAAAAAAATGGGAACTTTCCCATTTACAATCTTGAAAAATTCCACATAAATAATTTTTGTTTTAGAAAACTAAAGTCCCTTGACCATCTCAACGCAGGGCGAAGGACGAACTCACTCACCCGGATCCTGCCGGCCGCCCGCTGACATCGGCCGCGGCCGCGGGCCTCGCCGTCGCTCCAGTCCATCCCCGTCACGTCCGAGTAGGATGCCGCGCCGCGGACGCCCCGATGCACGGCCGGCGGTGGCAGCCGCGAGCGAGTTGCCGCTACGGTCCTCGCGGCCCCCAGGGACAACTGCGAGGACGGAGACTTCCTGGATCGGCGAGGTACAGACACCCTGGAGGAGGGCGTCTCTCTCGAACGCCACGGCGTCGCTATCGACGCCTGGGACGCCACCGCTCTCCGTTTGGAAGGCAGAGGCTGGAGTTCTCCGTTCAAGTGAGTCGTTCTGGAGTGAGGGTGGTTGAGCGACGTCTTGGTGCGGGATGGCTGTGGCAACGCATTGTTCTTTGTCTTTGAACGAGATTGCTGGGGTTTAAGCGCCGCCCTGGAGATGTTCTGCTTCGTCGTGGAGCGAGATGGTGCACGCTTGAGGGCCGCCCTGGATGCGTTCCTTGTCTTGGAGCGGGATGGCGGGGGTCTGAGCACCGCCCTGGGGGCGTTCTTTGTCCTGGAGAGGGATGGCTGGGGCTTGAGTGACGCCCTGGACTGCGTAGGTCTGGAGCGGGAAGGCCGGAGGGACGCGCTGGAGTATTGCGTCGTCCTGGACCGGGAAGGTTCGGGCTGGAGCAACGCCCTGGAAGGTCGGCGAGTGCGCCTGCGTCGGCGCGGTCTAGGTGCGGCGGTGGCTCGCGACACCGACGCGAGGGAGGCCACCCTGGGCGGCGGGCGAGTGCGGGTCGCTCCTGGAGTGACCAGAAAGGATTCGTCTGCTATCAGCCATCGTGGGGATGGAGATGGACTCTAATCTGTACTTATTAGACGCACCCGAAGGCTGCGGCGTGAGGACTGGCCGTCTGGCCGCTCCGTCTGGTGGTCTGCAGGGGGTCAGGTTGGTCCTGGCGACGGCCGGGCGCTGGCCACCGACGGTGGCCGAACCGTGCCCCGGGGGCGGCGCCCTGGCCCCGCCTCCGCGGCCCCGCGCGCTGACGCGGTGGCTCGGCACTGAGGCGCGGACGCTGCCGCCCGTCCGGGCGGCCCTGCTGCTGGGGGCGGCAGCGCGCGGCGGTGTTGCTGGCAGGACGGGGGCGCCAGTCTTGTGGCTGCCGGAGGATGACTTGGTGCGCAGCGGCCGCGCACTGCGGCCCTGGTGGGCGCGGGCCCCGCTGCAGCCCGGCCCTCGCGGCGCCCCTCGCAGGCTTATCGCGGTCCTTCCCCGCACCGGGCTGCTGTCCAGCGGGCTGCCCCGTGGGGTGCCCCGCGGGGTGACCCGTCGGGAGGTGGTGGCTGCGGCTCGCCGATGCGGACGTGGGTCTGGAGGAGGCGGTCCGTGACACTGGCCGCGACGTGGCGGCGCGCGGCGCTTCTCCTGGAGGTCGCCGTCGACTGCCCTCGGCCACCCAGCGAGCCTGTCAGCCGACCGAAGGAGGTCGATCGGTTGTCACTGTCGATGGCCGAGGCCTGTGTGCCCCCGCCTCGTTCGTCCCATACGGGCGCCCCCCGCCTCGGCCGACTGGCTCGAGTACCTGCATGTGACCCGGGTAAACGACATGGCGGGCCTCGGGTAGGAACGGCGTGGACTGGCGCTGGCCGTCGCCACGGCGCAGCGCGCCGCCCGCTCGCCTGCTGGCCGAGGCCGAGGGCGCCGCGGCGCCGCCTCCGCGGCCCTTGCGTCGCTGCTTGGTGGAGGCCGAGGAGGCGGCGAGGCCCGTGTCTGCGAGCAGGCAGGTCAGCAGGCAGGAGCACGGGCTGGAGCAGTGTTGCATGCCTCATGGCGTCTCTTCATGTCGCCCCATGTCTCCTGGCTGCTCCCATGGCGACGCGCCTGGCACACCGCTGCATGGAGGGAACGCAACGGCACGTGTTATTTCTTTGCAGACGGGAGGCCCCTTTCGTACAAAGCCGATAGTCCCTCCTTGGCTGCCTGCATGAGAGAAGGGCGCCCTTCTCTCATGGCTGCGGCGATGCCCCGTGGGTGGCTGGCTCAACACGGGCGAAAGTGCTTTCAGGTGTGGGGGAGGGGGCTACACCACCAACTCACCTCTCCCTAGTTCAAGTTCGCGTTTAAAGATACGTTCGGAAGTTCACATGAATTGAATCACCCGTATCGGGTGGGACTTCAATCCACGACCGGACCATCCCCCTCCCTAACAACTGCCCCAAGCGAACGCGGTCCGTGGCGTACATCCTTGTGCCCGTCGGGCATTTCCTATGTACTGTGCTGCACAAGTAGTACACACTGAAACCGTTTTTGCCATGTCTTGAGCCTGTAAGTTACTCCCGAACAGAGTTGAGCGCGCGCGCTAGTCTACCTGGGGGGTGATATCTCCAGACAGGAAAGCACCTCTGTTATTGTTTCCTGTTCATTGTAACCAGGATCATGGTAGTAACCCGCCTAAGAGTTCGACTCCAGCCACACAGTACATTGTGGGTCGGCCATGTTGCTATAGCGTGAGCCGATGGCTACAATAGCACCCTCGCTATGTGGGGGTGTTGCGCTGTATGAGCGGTTAAGCGCGGGGCGCGCGGGGCTTTTCTCTACAGGTGTGGGCCCCTGTGTCCTCTCTGGTGCTGTCTGGTGCTTGCTGTCTCTTGATGTGTCGCGAGGGGGTGCGCTCTGTTGCCCACTGTTGGCTGGTGGTGGGTTGTCCCGGTGTGGTCTGCTGGCTTCTTGGGGGTGTGTGGTGGGGTTGTCTCGGGTTGGGTTGTGAGTCGCTTTTTCTTGTCTATTCGTTTCTCGGCCCTCACGGTGTCGTTGGTTGTGGTTGCTTCGGTGGTGGTTCTTTGTGTGTGTGTTGGTGAGCTCTTTCGTGTTTGTTTGTGTGTGTGTGTGGTTTGGGGTGGGCTTTCGTGTGTTGGTCCTTGTGCTCCCGCGTGGTGGTTTGCTTGGGCAGGGTTTATTTTTTTGCTTATTCTTTTGAACCCCCTTGTTTTTTTACCCCTTTATTGGGGGGCGGATTTATTGGCAAGGCAAGTTCCAAGGTTTTTGTTTTTTGATTTTATTGTTTTGGACCCTTTTGTTTTTTTTAGGGGGTGCTCTTTTATTTTGGGTTAGGGTTCGGAAACTTTTTTGGTTCCCTTTTCGGTTGGTTGGGTTGCTTGCGGGCTTGATTCTTGTTTCCGGTTTTGGCGCTTTTTTTTCTTTGCTTAGGGGTTGGCGGGGAAGTTTGTTCGTTTTTTTTTTGGTTTTTTTTGGTTTTTTTGGGGGCTCTGGGCGTGTGCGAGTCTGGGTGTGGGCTCGCGTGTTGTGCGCGTGTTTTTTGGGGGCTGTGTTTTCTCTCTCTCTGGGGCGCTGTGAGAGAGCGAGCTTGCGCATGCTGAACCAGCAATCACTTAAGGCCCAGTGAGGGAACCATTTACAAACTAAACTGAATGCTTAACTTGTCAGTTACGAAACGGCTAATGACGGACGTGCATTCTGTTTTATCCCCAAAGATTTTGAGCCTTCGCCTACACTTACCTGAGTTCGGCATGTGTCTGTGTTAGCCATTTCCCCGCAATGGAACTGGAATGCTTCTAACTTCATCTGACGCCTGTACATAAATGCAAATATGTGTTACTGGTATGAAACCGATGTTCGTTTGCATTGTTTGCACCTCTTCACGCACACGCACGTGTACCCCGCCCCCTACGCCCCTCACCCATCGAAACCAAAGTCCACTGCCTTGTGATGACAAGTTCTCACCTCACCCTCTCCCCTCCCCCTGCTGCACCTCCCACCCCACCTCCCCTTTCCCAGCCCCGCTGCCCCGCTCAACTCCTTCCCTGTCTGCTACGCTATGCGCTGAAGATTATGTCATCTTTTTGAAGGTTTTTAGTTTATATACCAAGTTTTAAGCAGTTGTTTTGTGGAGGAATGGATTATGTTAGTTTTCAAAGTTGTTGGAGATAAGAAATTCTAGTTTGTATAGAATGTTATCTTCTGGTTTGGTTTCAAACCGAGATAAAACCTTCCTATATTAGGTTAAGTATCCCAAGGCTGCTAGTTGAGTGTCATATATTTAGATAACTCTCCAGAGTGAAACGTCAAGAAACCATCTATCATGTGGCCCGCTAGAAGAATACTAAAGTATGCAACAGTAGTAGGAACCTTAACTGGAACAGCATTTTCTTTACATGCCAATCAGTACAACATTGATTCTATTGGCGCTGTACGTTTGGGTAGAGCTGCGTCCACAGTGAGTTTCTACATCACTTGCCATGAAAAAATGATTCACTGTCTTCTATAGTATTGAAAGCCAGATCCCTTGATCTTCAAAACATCATTGTTTTAGGTACTGAAAATTTCGTATTTGTATAAAACTGAATTGTACTCCAGCAATCTTCCCAGAGACACACCCGAGTTCTTAGAATTAAAATCAAAAGTAAGAATATCTAATAATTAATAAATCTTGAAAATAACTTTAAAATGTTTCACCATCCTAAATTATATATTTTAGGTTCATAGAAAAGCAGCAGAAAACCTCCTTGAGTTATGTTGTGCAAATCGAGGAGTATTTGTTAAAGTTGGACAACATATAGGAGCTCTTGAATACATTTTGCCTCATGAGTACGTAGAAACTATGAAAGTTTTACACAGCCAAGCTCCAACATCTTCCTTTGAAGAGATTCAGCGTGTGTTACGTCAAGATTTAAAATGTGATGTAAGTTACTCTATGCTTGCAAAATATTTTTGTCTGTCCAAAGTTCTCACAATTTTCTGTGAACCTATTTTAACTTATTACAAATTCCTCATTACAAAATTATTTCAATTGCAGCCTAAAGAAATTTTTGAGGAGTTTTCACCAACTCCTCTAGGGGCAGCCTCTCTAGCTCAAGTGCACAAAGCTAAATTAAAAGATGGAACAACTGTGGCGGTTAAGGTTCAACATCCATACATCAAAGGAAATTCTACTGTTGACATGACAACAATGGAGGTATGTGTGGTGACAAATTTACAAATAAGCTAGTGGAGGATGATAAGGAATACTCATATTCGTTTTAATTCCTCACTATTTTTTCAGGCTCTTGTTAAACTTGTAGAGATTGTATTTCCTGACTTTCGCTTCCAATGGTTAGTGACAGAAATGAAGCGTAATATACCAATGGAATTAAACTTCTTACAAGAAGCAGAAAATGCTGAAAAGGCATCAAAAATGTTTCATCATTTTCCATGGCTGAAGGTGCAACCAATATCAGCAATGATCTATTTTTCTTGTTTGGGTACATATCAAACTTGATATACAATGTGATTTTTGTAGGTACCAAAAGTTTACTGGGACCTCAGCAATCACCGTGTTTTGACTATGGAATATGTTGAGGGTGGACAAGTCAATGATCTTCCTTACATTCAAGAAAATAAAATAGACCCATATGAGGTTTCACACAAATTGGGCTGTCTCTACTCGCAGATGATATTTGGTGAGGGATTTGTTCATAGTGACCCTCATCCTGGAAACATATTGGTAAAAAAGAATAAACAGTCCAATAAAGTTGAGGTGATTCTTCTTGACCATGGCCTGTATGCTGTAAGTATTCAATGAGTATTTTGGTTACTTGAAAAGTAACAGTTACTTTCTCGTATGACTGGTTTCATTTTACAATCCTCAATAGGATTTGACCAATCAGTTCCGTTGGGAGTATTCTAAACTTTGGCTCAGTATCTTGAATAGTGATATAGATGGAATGAAGACTCATAGCCAAAATCTTGGAGTTGGTGAAATGTGGCCATTGTTTGCTTGTATGGTGAGCGGACGTACATGGAATACTATAATGTCAGGTGTTGACAAAGTTAATTTCACAGATTCAGAGGTGAGTGAGAACACAAGTAACTTTAAACAAACCTCTTACAAATACCAATAATTTTGCTTACTCCATGGTCAGAAAAATGAATTCCAGAAAGAGATTCCTAAGTATTTACCACAAATTACTGGTGTTCTTCAAGATGTTGATAGACAAATGCTCTTGATCTTCCGCACAAATGACTTGATGCGTGGTATTGAACACACATTAAAAACTCATGCGAGGTAAAGTAATGACTTCATTTCTACTTTGTTGGGTAGAAAATAGCAATCTTACAAAACTCTTTTGTACTTTACAGAATGTCTTCATTCCTTGTTATGTCCCGTTGGTGTGTCCGAAGTGTATTTAATGAACAACTTAAGGACTGTGATAACAGAATAAGACGATGGTGCTTAAAAGTGGCTCAGCAGTGGACACTCTTAAAAATCTCAATATATTATGCTTACATGAGTGTATGCAGCTTATCCCTTTCATCAATGTGGCAAGTTATGACTTCATAAGCCTTTAGAATAGACCTCAATATATTTTATACAAGCCAGCTCAGTCAACACTAAAATTTAGAATACATTGCATACATTCCTTGTCTTTTCCTTTTCTTTGTCATCATTTTAAATATTCAAGTCTGAGTTGGTTAATTTTGTAACTTGCCATAAAGATAATTGCCTTAAACAGATACCAAAATAGGTGCCAAAGAAAGTGTTTTAAGTCAAATTATGCACAATGAATTAGTATTGTTAACTTTATGAAGTTGTTTGAAGACTTATCAGAGAATTTTTGCTTATTGTCTAAAATGTTTGGCAATTCATTTTTATTATAATTACCATGTTACAACAGTTTCTGTGAAATCATAGCTGAGATAAGTTTTGAAATAATTGCCTTGTATACTAGTTATAAAATACTTAAAAAGCACAAATTACATAGCCAAAGTTTGAGGGACCTAAAATAAATGTTTATCATTTTTAGTTTTGATGGGGATGATGTGCAGTTCAAGCATTTTTAATCTTCAGTAAGTTGGTCTTAAGTTAATATATTATTTCATCTCCCAGACCAATGCTGCTGAAGTTGTTTTAGGCGTTGCAGAAGAGTTTGCTTATCTAGTCGATGTTTGCAAAGGAAGTGACCCTCCAGGAAAAGGACAGGTATATCATACCTGTATAGTTTGTTCCACCGTTCATTACCCTGAACTGTAATATCCACAGATTTAAACTCCACTTCACCAAGAAAAGGCTCCAAATCCACTTTAAGTTCATCACAGAGGGGGCAGGGATCCTTTGTGTACAATACAAGTTGTGGCTTTCCACTAGGAGGGCGTTCCATCGGTCTGCAATTTGAAGAGGTGACTATGATGCCTACTGTTTGGGAGTAGTTAAAGACATTTGTTGGTCTCAAAATTTTAAAGAAAAAGGTTTTCAGAACCTGATTTAAGGAAAATGTGCTGTTTTCAGTGGGTAAGAGCTTTATGCTTATTAAAGCTCAGCCAATAAAATAAGGATATTACATAAAAATAATTTTATTGATGACTAAAACCAGCTTGAAAACAACATTCTATAAAGACTATTACATTTAAAAAAGATAAACAGCACAAAGAAAGAAATGTTTTACAAAAATAATCTATCACAAAAAATAAAAGTACCATTAAAAATATCAGTCTCGCAACTGTGATGACACATGATCGTAAATAAAATATTATTTCATTGAAACTGGCAGAAATCATCTTAACCAACACATCCAGTGGACATTTTTCTGCTTTTAGTCATAAGATTGATAAAAATGATCTTAACCCTCACACCAAAAGAGAATGAACATTTACCAACAATAACATTCCGGAAGTATTTGAACTTAAAAAATATGAGAGTTCAATGTAAAGGTATCAACTTACAATTTTTCAATAAGGATTGAAGATGCACCACCACCTCCATTACAGATGGCTGCCACACCCTTTTCACCAGGTTTCAATGAATACACAAGATGGTTCACAAGACGAGCCCCTGACATACTGGAATAAGATTACAAAATTAGATAGACTTAACACTTACAGATTTTAATTTCAGAAAAGATAAAATTATACCAACCCAATGGGATGACCAAGACTAACAGCACCTCCATGGATGTTCAATTTTTTCATATCCAGTTTTAACATTTTTTGGCAAGCAAGGGCAACTACACTGAAAGCTTCATTGATTTCCCACATAGCAACTTCATCTTGTTTAACACCACAGCGCTCTAGCAGCTGTGAATCAAAATAAAATAAGCAATGAGATTTACTATAATTAGTTCAGTTTTAGGTGTATATTAAATTATTATAATACACAAATATTTACTTTGGGAATTGCAAAGACAGGTGCAATCGGGAAGTCAATGGGTTCTGTTTCTGCATCGTAAAATCCAACAATTCTTGCAATAGGCTTAACTCCAAGGCGTTCAGCCGCATCACGGGTAGTAAGAACACAAGCTGCTGCACCATCATTGAGAGTTGATGCATTTCCTGCAGTTACAGTGCCTCCTTCTCTCTATAAAACAGATGGATTAGATTATGTTTTGTGTGTACAAAAAATCACCCATTGGTTGAATATTTGGCATTTACCTGAAATACAGTTGGAAGTTTAGAAAACTTTTCAAAGTTAACTCGTTTGAATTCTTCGTCTTCTGAGACAATAAGATCTGGTTTGCCTGTCACAGTGTAAGGGGGTGGGATAAACAAGAAAAAGTCAAAAATCGGCAATCAATTTGAAAATCTCTTTGATGGCCTGCTCCATGGAAACTTTACCTTTTTTTTGTGGAACATTCACAGGCACCAATTCTTCCTTAATGGCACCGGACTTATATGCCTCTGCACTTCGTTGATAACTTTGAATGGCATACTCATCCTGATCCTTGCGAGTTATACCCAAATTTTTAGCTGTGTTTTCACCACAATTTCCCATATGAATTTTGTTATAAACATCTGTGAGACCATCAAATACAATACCATCCTGACAAGGAGAAATGTCATTATTTCATTATTACTCATACAGCTCATTTTCAAGTTTAGTATGAGGTTTGATCTCAACAAACCTGCAATGTAACTCCACCATAGCCAGTGTCTCCTCTCTTCATATAAAAGGGCACATTAGACATTGACTCCATGCCACCAGCCACAATGACATCCTGATGACCACACATTAAACCCTGAGCTGCCAACATAATCGATTTCATTCCTGATGAGCACACCTTGTTGATCGTAGTACAAGCTGTGGACTTTGGCAAACCTGAAAATAATTTAGAAGGGTGTCATGAAACAAAATCTTTTAAATTTGAAGCTTTTCTGGGAGTAAAAGTTACCTGCATATAATGCGGCTTGTCTTGCTGGTGCCTGTCCTAACATGCCCTGACACACATTTCCCATGTAAACTTCTTGAACTTCCTCCTTCGAAATACCGGCTCGTTCCAAAGCAGCCTGCACAACATAAAGTATTGTAAATCTCTAACGCTGCCTGCTCTTTATTCAAGCTGCTGCAGCAGAAGAATTCAAAATCATACTTTAATTGCAACAGCAGCAAGTTTTGGCGCAGGAATGGATGCTAGCTGACTGCAAAATGACCCCATAGGAGTTCGAGCCGCCCCAACAATAACAACATCATTTAACTTGGTGCTCGAACTATGCTGGAACCTTAAGGATCCCTTTGGGCGAATTCCCCACAGCAACGACTTCACCTAGAAATAAGCAAGAGAAATGAAGTAGTAATATTTGTTTAACAAATCAAGAATAATGAACACCAACATTTTTGTGACAAACATTTCTTTCTCCCTTTATAATATTTACAGAGAGCAAAAGTAAATCAACTTTTGCACTAATTTATTCTGAAAAGTTGATACTGACCAAAGGTTAAACCTGTGGGAATGGTGAGAAAGTTTACCTGGTGAAGGGCCGGCATGGTGTACTGTGGTGAAGGGCGGCGTATAACTTTACAACGGACGGGTTGGTAACAAACTATGAGATGAGAGAAACGGGTTCAAGGACAGCGGAGAAGAAAACTGACAACAACAAGTGTTGCCGGTCGGGTCGGACCAGTGACGCGCATATGAGGTGCGGGGCGGGGGGATGGGGGAAGGGAGGGGGGGCAGTCGGCCGGTCAGCTGTTTCTCAGTGTTGTCAACTATATGGTACTCATTATCCGACGTCTCGTCTGATGTCTTCGAGTCGACGGCTTCGTAGTTAATGTTCATAGTTTTGTTACAAAATTTTCAAAAGTGGTTAAACTTAATATCAGGCGTTTCTTTTCTGTTTTCGTAAAGAAATGTTTTGGTTTAGTTTAGAAACAGTGTGAGACAACCTTCCTCCGGTTGGCGCTAACCGCCAGTTAATTTAGAAACCTCGAACAAACGTTAAAAGGGCCCTATGGCCTAATTTGCTTATTGAGGGTGAACTTCTTTAAACTCAGGCCTAGTCCTAACAATTTGATAAAATAGTAATTGTTTAAAATAATTAAAACAGTGAATATGGATTGTCATTTAGATGAAGAACATCTTCAAATCTTCAGTGAGTTCTAAGAATACTTTTGTTATTTTTTTGTGGTTTTTCAAATTACTTTTGGGTGAATATGTAACCTTTATTACACCCAGGCAAAAATTTTCAAGATAATCTCCAGGTAGCTATAAGCATGCATGTAGACTCTTTCGTGTCAAGCATGGTTGAATACAGTCGCTCCTGCTCAAGGTGAGGAAAAGAATTATAACTTTCTTTCAGCAATGTCATTCTTTGACTTGACGTTTCACTCTTCTTTTCAGAGAGATCTTAACTGAAAAGGGAGCTGAGTTAGTACGTTCTAATGCAGATCTAATAGAAGCAAGAACTAGTCTGGAGAATGCAGTTGGCCAGTCAGCCCTGATTTGTATAATGCAAAGCGCACTCAAACTGTCTACAGCGATTGTTACTGCCAATCATATGGAAAATGGAATGTCTCTCAAGTAAATGACAGAATAAGATATTTCATTATTTTTATTCACTGCTGATGAAATGCAAGAATTATGTGAACATTCTGTTGTGGACTAGACTTCAGGGTTTAGTTAATCAAAGAAAAATCTTTTTTGGTTTAGCATTAACCAATATTTAAGTAGCAAAGAATATGTTGTGCAACCACAGTAAAAATTGAGAATGTTGTGTTTTCTTTAAACATTGGTACAGCCAAACACTTGGTTCACATGAACTGTAATGAACTCTATCTAGTTAAGAAAAGAGTAATTAACAATTGGTGTCTCTATAACCATGAGAGGAGGAATATAGAATTTTGATGTACAAATATTTACTTTCATTGTGTTTAACAAGACCAACAAACTCCTAATAAAATATAGGATGTTGAAGAAATAGTAAAACCAATTACCAAAAATAGAAATAATATAATTATTTCAGTAACACCAATATCAAGGTACCAGGACTGTCTGGATAATCTTTGTACATGTCAATGGAAACAACAAAGACATTTGATATTTTTCAACTCCCATTCAAAGAGTTTGAGTTATGACATCTCGAGGCCAGATCAAATGGAGGGTGGTGCAGGAGGCTCTTCTCCAGGAGCTCCATTGTTCTGATTTTGTGTATCTAATTGTCTTCGGAGCTGTTCAACAAGTTCTGGGTTTGCACTTTGCATGTGCTCAGCAAGTTGCTGACCACTGTAATAATGAAAAGAACCAAATAACGTTCAGTACAAGGAAGTTTTTAACATAATCAAATGGTGAGATCACTACTTACGCTCGAAGCAAAGCATCCATGGCCCCAGTGCTTCCTTGGGGGTTGCCCGAAACAAGATTGCTGTATCTGTTAAAAGATTAAAATGACTAGTCCAAAGCTTTTCTAAACAAATAAAATATGCTGTTGTTACAAGAAAAGAAAAACTTACACATTCTGTGTAATTCTGTGCATGTTGGGATCAGACAGAACTTGTGATGCCATGGCCATAAGGTTACTGTTACCAAGCATACTTCCAATGGGTCCCAAGTTTGCCAAATTGGGCTCACCTCCCATTAGGAATGGAGAGGGACCTGCACCTGTTATTTTTTCTTGAGCAAGTTGCATATTATTTTTGTAGCTTTCATTGTCTGGCTCCATTTCCAAAGCCTTGGCATATGCATTTCGAGCTTCTTCATGTTGTCCTAGACTAGCATGAGCTAATCTGTAAAATAAAAACAGTAGCAATGTACTAAAATGAAAAGAATTGCTTCAGATTGATGTCATACAGCCCTTACTAACCCTAGTCGTGCGTATGCTTTACAATAAGATGAATCAATTTTTAAGGCCTGTTTAGCATCAGCAATAGACTGCTGGTAGTTGTTCAGCTTGCTATGTACGGCAGCTCTATTGCAGTAGTAGATGGCATTTCGACCATCAAGTGCAATAGCCCTACAAAAAGGGGAAAAAAAATTAGAATTGAAAAATTACGTTTAAATTAAGTAAAGCTAATAAAAATGTTCCTTTTACTTGGAGTAAGCATCAATAGCCTCCTGGTACTTCTCTTCATGCATCAATGAGTTACCCTCAGCTTTCAGTCTTTCAGCTTCAGCTTTACATTCTGGGCTTGCTTCAGGAGGAAGCTCTTCAGCCTGTGTGAAAAAAATGAAAATTTAACATCAGTAGCTTTGTTTTTCCATCAGAGTAACTGAACATTTAAAAATTACGTACATCTTCAAGGGTACCCGAGTAGTCTCGGAAAATGTCAAGAAGGGGTGTGGTCGGTCTCAATGCTTCATCAGCACCAGAAACACTATAAGCACTCTCCAGGCACTGAATTGCCACTTCCAAACTTTCAACGGCATCAGAGGACAATCCACCATTGTGCATTTGATCATTTAGGAAATGGACTATGGATGCAACAAGATGCTTGACAGAACTCATTTTGAATGACGCAGCAGAATCAGAGGTGGTGATGCCTGAAAGAGAAGCATACTGTTTCAGATTCATTTGATATTAATAAACATGTAATTCTAAACCAGAAGAAATAATACAAATGTAAAATGTTGAGCATTTTAATATGTTCTGACATGTATAATTTATAACAGCTGTTGCTCTAAACAAGTTGGGGTAGGATAAAAATAGGGTAGAGCAGGTAAAATTGTCCAAGTATTGAAATCAAGTATTTCGTGAGTGGCTTATTTATTTATTTGCGTTATATTGCCCCTGAGGAGTGATGACGGTGCCAATGCTTTACTAAGACACCTAATTTAACCAATGTTTGACAAATACATGTAATAATTTCACTTAGGGCGAATTTGAGTTTATGAAAACATTTAAGTTTTCGATTATTGCGATATTTGAAAGAGTATTATTTCATTAATTGTCTAGATTTTCACGACCGGAAAATACTTACACGGTACGTACGTAACCTATCAACGAAAACGAAACACCAGAAGAAACAAAACAAGAAAAAGCGAAGTGAGGTCGATCTATCGTTTTCATTTCGTTGACGTTTCTTAAACACTGGCTGCAAAGTGATCAGGACGCGGACTGCGGCCATCAAAGCTATGTTACATTCCACACTTCAATGAATGAAGTTGCGTTCTTTTTATTGTTATTTATGAAGGTTGGGTCAAGGTATAGGAATTTGACATTCGATGGGGCGTATGTGTACGATGCACTTCGCAAACAAGGTTACTTCATGACTAGATCGTAGTAAGTTTCAACGGGGCATAATTGTTATCTTTATTTCTATGTGAAACTGTTCAAAACTGATCCATTTGGAGAGGCATCAGCATCCTCACTGATAGCTTCCCACGGTTCTTTCCTCCTCTTATTCAAGAACTCTCTCATCATTGAGTGAATTACTTGATCAAGTACAATTAAGGAAAGCACTGTTGTTGAAACCAGATGTATGTTTTGCTAACTTCTTATCTTATCTTTCCAGCACTGATAAAATCAACTGCATTTTGACAGTATAAAGAAAATTCTAAAATATGAATGTCGAAGAAAGCAGACTTCGCACATTCCAGAACTGGCCAGCCAATGCTGCTGTTGATCCCCAGCGTATCGCAAAGGCAGGCTTCTATTACACTGGTCGTGGACTGGAAGTACAATGTTTCTGTTGTGGTGGACGATTAGAGGACTGGAACTATGGGGATCAGGTAATTTCCCATTTCTAGTCTTCCCACATTGATTTCCGCATTCTCTATTTAATTTTGACTTACCTACATGATTTTTATCTAACAGGTAATGGCCAGACATCGTAGAATCAGTCCATCTTGCCCTTTTGTTAGCAACCCAGCTTCATCTGGAAATGTACCACTCTGTGGGGCTCCTCGGGATGTCCCTGCTCATCCACTTCCCTCTACAACTTATCAAGCGCGGCCTAGTGGATCTTCTGCACGCTCAAACACATCGCATGCTGGAATGTGGGATCAGACAACTATGTTTCGGAGTGAAGCTTTTAGACTTGAAACGTTTGAAAACTGGCCTATACCTGAAATTGTCACTCCATCACAGTTAGCAAAATCAGGATTCTCTTACCTGGGCATAGGAGACAAAGTATGTCAAAGCTTATTGCTCTCATAGCTTATAGCAGTATATTTGTACCACAAATTCATCTTCTAAATATTTCCCTGTTTTTTTTCAATCAGGTGAAGTGTGCTTTCTGCTCTGGTGTTGTGGGTTTTTGGGAAGCTGGAGACGATCCAGAAAAAGAACATAGAAGGCATTTTCCATCATGCCCCTTCTTGTACAATATCCCAGTTGGTAACATTCCATTAAATGCTGTAGCAGGTGATACATGTTCAGAACTTGGTGTACGAGATTTAAATACAGATGCCAGTAAGTGATTGTTAATTAAAATCTTTGATTATGTACTGTGTGCACAAGTTGACTATAGTAAAACATACATTGTTTTTTTAATTAGCTGATCCTAAGCTGGCTATGAAAGAACTAGGCATTCAAAGTCACCATGGCCCCAGGAACCCCATATATGCTACTGTAGAATCTCGACTACGAACTTATGACAACTGGCCAACCGATGTGACCCAAAAACCTGATGACTTAGCTGCCGCTGGATTTTATTACACAGGTAAAAATCATACTGTTTTGAAGAAGCCTTTTAATCCCATTGTTCAAGTG